TGGCTCACAGTGATGAACCCACATATGAATTTCAGCCCCTGACACACCTTCCAATCAGAGAAATCGGATCACTATTCTTTGTTGATCACTGGTGCACACTGCTAGCAGAGCGGCCATGTTTACATTGTCACAGCATCAAGGAAAATGATGCGATCAAGGTAAAACTTCGATCATGTGACCACAGGAGTACCAACTCTAACAATGCATGCGTAGGAGGCAGTGTGACAAACCTAAAGATGTGTTATGGAGAAAGTGCGGATAATTTCTGACTTACCCTCGTATATTAGACTGAATCTACAAATAACGCCCAACAACATATTAGCAAATGAACAATATGGCTTTAGGAGCAATTCACCTATAGGAAAAGCTGCGTACAAACTTCTTAATTAAGTATTAACTGCGCTGAATAAGAATATATTAGTTGGTGGCATTTTCTGTGACTTGAAAATAGCTTTTGACTGTGTCAATTTTGATATTTTACTATCTAAACAGGAATTTTATGGGATAGTTTCATGGACCAATGCATTGGTAAACTCTTATCTCAAGGACAGATCCCAGATAGTTCTAATCAATAACTGGCATACTCATTCTGAAAGGGGGCACAGTTAATAATGGTGTTCCCCAGGGATCTATTTTGGGACCTTTACTGTTTCTTTTATATAACTGACTTGCCAAATATTATAAACAGCAAATCCAAACCTGTCCTTTTTGCAGATGATACTAGCATTATTATTACTAATTGCTGCCCTGTAAATTATGAAAACAATATTACTCAAATTTTCAAAGACATAAATGACTGGTTTCAAGCCAATTTACTGAAATAAAATTTTGATAAGACTTATTTTATTTTACAACTAAGAATAGCCAGGCAATGGATATGCACATTGTCCATGGCAACAATCAACTTGCCAAATCTAACACCACCAGATTTCTTGGATTAATTATTGACAATATGTTGTCATGGAAAGGACACTTCAACTGGTTCATGACTAAATTGAGCTCTACCTGTTATGCAATCAGGAAACAATGAAAATGATTTATTTCTCATTTCTGCAATAACTTATGGTTCGATCTTCTGGAGCAAATCTCCCCAATGTATCCTCATTTTCAGGCTCCAGAAAAAGGCAATTAGAATCATCACTAATTCTAGGAAAAACAACTCTTATAGGGGATTGTTTAAAATTGAAAATTTTGCCCCTCCAGTCACAGTATATATTTTCTCTCGTTATTTATGGCCGAAAACAGAGAACAATTTAAAACTAACTCTCAAATTCATAGCAATAATACAAGAGACAACAATAACCTTCACTATCCTACATGCAATTTGTCAGTATTCCAAAAAGGATCTTATTATTTTTGTATCAAGGTTTTTAACAGCCTCCCTCCTAGCATAAAGAACATAGATCATGATATTAAACAATTTAAATTTGCTTTTGAAAAGATTTCTACTCTTAAATTCATTTTACTCACTGGAGGAATATTTGAACCACAATACTGATTAAAGATCCTGGTTCATTACATGCTCAATGAATGGCAGTATATTTCATACTTGATTACTGCAGTGTTGTTCGTTGATAGTTTGACGCATGCTTTAAGTCACACACATGGCAGAGTGGTTGCTGGACAATATGTGTTTGAGTGTGTTTGTCTAACTGTACCCAGGCAAGCCATGTAACCTGTTTTGTTGTCACTGTTTATTTTAGTTTACCAGCCAAGTAAGGCACCATGAGTGTAAATGAAGGAAGAAAGGAATGAATGAATATATAAATTATAGCCAATGAGATAAAATAATTGTATACTGGTAATTAAATCATACTCACTGGAAGAATATTTTTATGTATGTTGCCTTCCCGCTTGCCCTTCTTGACTGTATTTTACTGTATTCACAAGTCTCCCTTATGGGGATCCATGAATGTATGGAGATTGCTTGCTTTTACTTTTACTTACATATTTTATAACCTTTAACGATTTACTCATTGGATAAAAGGCTCAAATTGTGATGTACAACTATAATTAACTTGTATCTATGTAATTTATAATCTTATTACTTATTAGCGATGTACTCACCGACATGTTCAATTTGTGATGCATAAGTACAGGGAGGCGCAAAAAAGATGGGAACTTTTGAATGTGATGTTGGCAGCAGTATGAGGGGAGGGTGGTAAGTTGTAGGGTAGCACCGGAGGTTTAGTAGCCATGGAACGATGGAACGTTCAAGAACACGTAGTAGCCGTGCAGGCTTATTATCGACACGGCAACAGTTTGGTTGAGGGGTTACAGGAGTTTAGGCGGCATTTCAACCTTGCCCCTCGTGCCCACGCTCCATCTAAACATGCAATTCGAACGTGGTTTCAAAATTTCGAAGAGACTGGTTCAGTGGGAAAGAGAAAGTCTTCTGGTCGTCCACGAAGTGCTCAGACTCTGGAAAATGTCAAAGCCGTGCAAGTCTCCATCTTGAGAAGTTCACATCGCTCAGTACGGAAAGTCGCAGTGGCAGTGACTGTAAGTCGTCGGTCTGTTCAGAGAATACTCCATGAACTCAAGTTTCATCCCTATAAACTGCAACTGGTGCAAGAACTGAAACCTAATGACCATTTGTTGCGCCAACAGTTTTGTGAAGCAATAATGAACAAAACTGACGAGAATCCTGATTTCATTGAAAATCTGTGGATGTCAGACGAAGCTCATTTTCATTTAAACGGGTATGTGAACAAGCAGAACTGTCGGTACTGGGCACAAGAAAATCCTGCTGTTCTTCATCAACGACCTCTACACAGCCCCAAGGTCACTGTATGGTGTGCAGTTTCAGCTCGAAGGGTGATAGGACCATATTTTTTTGAAGACATCGCAAGAAATACGGTGACAGTACTTCTGAGCATTATGTAACCATGCTTGAGACGTTTCTTGCCGCAAAAATTCACAGTGTACTGAACACTGATATCGAAAACACTTGGTTTCAACAGGACGGGGCGACCGCACGAGTTTAAATGGCAGCGGTCAGGCGTCTGTTCGGTAACCACGTAATTTCCAGAAACGGTGACACTGCTGCTTGGCCACCTCATTCCCCAGACTTATCAGCGTGTGATTTTTATTTATGGGGTTATCTGAAGAGCGTGGTCTACAATACATGCCCCACAACCCTAGCCGAACTTAGAAGATGAATAACAGAAGAGATCGCAGCAATACAACCCGAAACTTTGCTCCGAGCCATGCGCAATTTTCAGGATCGACTTGCAGAGTGTATACAGCAAGATGGACATCATCTTCGCGATGTTATTTTCAAACTGTGAGTTATTTTTAAATTTCCAATGTAGAAGTGCACATTGAGTACCTTGATTAAATTAAAAAAAAAGTATTTTTTTCTCTATTTTCAAGAGTTCCCACCTTTTTGCGCCACCCTGTACATTTAACTTATATTTATGTAATTTGTAATCTTATTAATTTTTCAATTGGACTGTTATTGTACATGTCATTTTATTTATACTATATCTGACTTGTTCCACATCCTATGGTGTCTACCTGTATGTGGATTTACGGAACGTATATAAATTGAGAGAAGAAAAAGAACACAGAAATTACGTTCCGCCCTATAGAACAAGCTGGTTCACTCTGCAACATTTCTTACTTGTATTTGGGAGGTAATCTATTTGGATCTCAGTGAGGCACTGACTATCCCGATCGAAACCGTAGTTTTCCTCAGTCCCTCCTGGGAAATTACCTAAATTCAGAACATGATACCTTCTTACCAGATCTTATCCAACGATCACTTACTTATCGTCCTACATTCAAGACTTTATACTCTGAGTAACGAAATTTTTTAAATTCCATCATTTATATTTTCTTTTCATCAAGATAATATATTTTTCTATCATCAATCATTTTTAGGACTACATTATTTGGAAAGGGGACAGTTTTTTAATTAAATGTCACCATACAATTTGAGCCATGAGCTACTATGAGAACAATTTAAAACTGGTGGAGCTGGCCAGGGTTTAAATGTCCACTGCTGTGGAGTGTTTAAATAACTTTAAGTGTGTTATGAAAAATGCTGTAACTAGAACACTTTTTATAATAAACAAACAAAATTAGCTTTGTTTTTATGAAGAAAGAACATAGTTTCACACAGTATAGCGACAGGTTTGAAAATAATTAGAAAGATAAAGTTATATTGCATCATATTTTTCATTTGTTTTTAATTTTTTGTTTTTAGTGTAAAAATAAGGTTCTCACGTCTTCAGTCATTCTGTATTTCAGAATCATTCCTTCTTGTCCCATGGTTTACAGCTGCATGTCACAAAACAGACACATACATCCTTGACTACACAAGATTCATACCTTTGTGATACTCATCTCTACTGACAACAGCTAAGCTCTAAGAGAAAGTATCTTTATTATTATACAGGAAACCATAGGTTCACAGCTATATTTTCCAATTACTGTCAACAAAACAGCAGCACTGTAACTCTCATACCAAGTGTAGGCTATTTCCTGTGTACTGGGTTCTTAGGGGACTGGAATTTAGAGCTTTTCTTTACACAGAGCCTTCAAACTGATGATTCGGCTGATGGACACCACAGTGACTGTGAAATTGTGACCTTTGTCTTTGTTCTTTGGGCTGCTTTGAGGGGTGCCTCCCCAAGGCAAGAAACAGTTGGATGACACAGGAGTAAACATTATACATGCACAAAGTAGAAAACAACAAGAAATGGCACAACATTACATTTTACTACATTTAAATACATCCAACCCATGCTGCACGTGAGATGGCATAACCAATACTATTTGATATAAAATAATTATTATTTAAGACTGTGCACACACTTATACTGCAAACAATTAGAACCACCATTTCATCCAGCATAGCTATTGGACATCACCTTTAAATGCATGAAAACATGCAGCACTGCCAACAAAGATTAATGTGACAAAAATGAGGAAACATACAGTGATCTCATATGACTCAAAGCTACTTACTGTATGTAGCATATGACAATACTTACTGTTCTTGACATCCAGAAATCCTACAAGAGTTGACAGCAGCCCTGCCAATGCAACTGGACTCAGCAGCTGACGATCACTATGATATGGGCACAGTGTCAAAGTACCTTTGCCCAGATGGGTGAGTCCCTGTGCTATTCTTACCATAAAGAGATTGTTAGGATCCTTTGCGTGAAACTGCGCCAGCTGCCGGAGCATAGCGGCTAATCTACAACAGAGAAAATGATATATGCACACGATGCCACCAGTTAGCCACTGCACAATCAATGCATTTACAAGATACTAAACGTCTACAAACAAATCCAGGTTCCATGCTTGTGGGATAATCCACTAATATTTACATTACCTTCTAAATATACACATACTTTCAACAAGATATCAAACTGACACCATAAAACATTGAAGTCAACTTACTAAAAGTACCATCATAATATGTGTATTTATATAACATGTTTCTAAATATATGTTTTGACTTAAAACATTCAGAAAATTCTGAAAATTAAAAATGGTTAAATACTAATAAGTACAACTAGCTGGCTACAGCAGGGTTAATTATACTATTGAACTTCTGCAGCTTTGTGTTGCATTATTTTAATGGCTTGTACAGACAGTCCAGCAGGCCAGCATTGCCAACTTTCAGTAGTAATGCAGTTAAATCTGGTCACCAGTCACAGCACAGAGGCATTTAAAATCATCTATTCCCAAAACAAATTATTAACATAGTGTGACATAGTACCTAAAGTCAGAACTGTACAGTCAGAAAAGTGTCGGAGGCATCCATTGCTAAGCAACAGCTTGTTAAGACATTTAGAATTACTCGGTTTTTGGACATGGTCAATCATCTGGAAATACTAAAGAAAACAATGTTTTGGAAACAGGATCTGTTTCTGCCCTCAAGTAACAGGGGCTGAGACATCTGTTCTACTGGGTCCTTCAGAAAGAGCTAACCTCAGTCATTGGGCCAATTTTATTAAGGACAGTCCCCTTTATTGACACCATTACCAAGCAATGAACACATGAATATATAGCAATCTGGAAGGTGCTATGCTTATTTTTAGATCATGAAGAGAAGTGGAAATGTTGTCAGTTATTTGTAGTTAAGTACAAATGTACAGTAAATTCAATTATCAATCTGATACCCTACAATATTATATTTGAGCATCCTGTTGCACTCTATACGATAAATGGTATAATGATACAAATTCCGTCCCAAGTGCAAACAGTATATTATGTGTCCTTGATCTTGTTCACCCACACTACATGTTTCGGCCACAGACGGCCATCATCAGGTGTATAACACTCACGTCGCTGTCACACTGCACTCAGCCCAAAATTTAACATTTAAAACACTTTCCTTGTTATTATCAACATCTACTTCGTTGATATCTGTCTGGATGTAGATCACTTTACACACGTTAATTCTGACGTACCTGTAGTAGCACTATAAAATCTTTAGTTCTAATTTTAAAATCCTTTAAAATTTTTTCTCTAAATTCCAAATTTAAAATTGTTAGGGTTACTTGCCCTATGTCTAAAGTGCTGTAGCGGCTAGTTCTTGTTCCCACACTGTATAGGTGTTATCTGTAATATATAAATATATTCATATTATTATCTTGTGTACGTAATGTTTTCTTATATGTTTATATTGTATTTATACTTACCCTGTGTAGTCTTCCTGTGTGCGTGCCGCTGTTATTCTTTACTACGTGTGTTGTGAGATGTACTGTGTGCTGAGTTTTATGTTGGTGAGTGTAGGGGAGGATGGGTAGTGGGGAGAGAGAGGTACCGTTAGTCTGTGTAGATTTCGTGTATCGTTTGAAATATGGGATTGTGTGTTTCTATGTGTGTATCATTCATTTGTGGGCCTTTCTTACTTATTTTATATATATGGTATTTCTCTAATGTATTCAAATGTCTGCCCTTCTTTCCCGTTGTTACAACTTCCATTACCTCTGTTATTGTTCCGTATGCATGCCCTGTATTTAGTATGTGATTTGAGTACCCGGAATTGCTATNAGTAAGAAAGGCCTACAAATGAATGATACACACATAGAAACACACAATCCCATATTTCAAACGATACACGAAATCTACACAGACTAACGGTACCTCTCTCTCCCCACTACCCATCCTCCCCTACACTCACCAACATAAAACTCAGCACACAGTACATCTCACAACACACGTAGTAAAGAATAACAGCGGCACGCACACAGGAAGACTACACAGGGTAAGTATAAATACAATATAAACATATAAGAAAACATTACGTACACAAGATAATAATATGAATATATTTATATATTACAGATAACACCTATACAGTGTGGGAACAAGAACTAGCCGCTACAGCACTTTAGACATAGGGCAAGTAACCCTAACAATTTTAAATTTGGAATTTAGAGAAAAAATTTTAAAGGATTTTAAAATTAGAACTAAAGATTTTATAGTGCTACTACAGGTACGTCAGAATTAACGTGTGTAAAGTGATCTACATCCAGACAGATATCAACGAAGTAGATGTTGATAATAACAAGGAAAGTGTTTTAAATGTTAAATTTTGGGCTGAGTGCAGTGTGACAGCGACGTGAGTGTTATACACCTGATGATGGCCGTCTGTGGCCGAAACATGTAGTGTGGGTGAACAAGATCAAGGACACATAATATATTGTTTGCACTTGGGACGGAATTTGTATCATTATACCATTTATCTGATACCCTATGTCTAGACACTAATCTGTGACAATAAAACAGGATTTTCTGTGAGACATGAAGATGTAACAAGTGGACATGAACTGGAAAGTGGTACCAGCAGGATATAGAGAATTTGGAAGTTTTCACATACAGCTGAGCCGTTAGTACTTGATCCTGGCCCACAACTGCGAAATTGAAAGGGTATAAATCGCCAGGTAGTGATCAAATTCCGACAGAACTTATTCAAGCAGGAGGCAAGATATTACGTTCTAAGATCCATAAGCTAATTACTTCTATTTGGCATAAGGGCAAATTGCGTAATCAGTGGAAGGAGTCTATTATTGTACCAGCTCACAAGAAGGGTATTAAAACTGACTGTAGTAATTATTGGGGGATAACACTGCTATCAACTTCATAGAAAATGTCATCCAATATTCTTCTCTCAAGGTTAAGTCCATACATAGATGAAATTACTGAGAATCATCAGTGTGGGTTTGGATGTAAGAGATCAACTACAGATCAGATCTTTTGCATTTGTCAGACATTCTGCCTAACGGGCACTATACTCAAACAGGAAGAGAGACACCGAATGAATTATTCAGGGTTCACTTTCTTGATTAAAAATTCATTGATAATTTGGATGATGGACAGGATCAGTAGAACCTGGGCATTCACCAAAGCAGGACAAACAGGGCAGACTGGAACCTGGCCAAAGCCATAATTAACCAATCAAAAATCAGATGGGCACTGAATACCTTTAGACCATTTAAGTCAGCGGGAACAGATGTAATTGTACTGGCACTTTTGCAGCATTGGGCAGAACTCTTTAGTTCCACACCTATGCTGCATATATAGAGCCTGCATGGCATATGGTTTTATCCCCATAGCATGGAGGCAAGTTAAGGTGATATTTATCCCAAAGCCCGGGAAACTAGATTACACCGAGGCTAAGGCTTATTGTCCTATCAGCCTGTCATCTTTCCTTTTGAAAACAATAGAGAAAATAGTGGATAGGCACATCAGGGAAGGGGCATTGAGGACATATCCTCTACACCGAAATCAGCATGCCTACCAAACAGGTAAATCTACTGAAACTGCACTACACAATGTGGTAACACGCAGAGAAAGTGTGATTGAACACAAGGATATTGCCTTACGAGCATTCCTTGATACAGAGGGAGCTTTCAATAAAACCTCATTTGATATAATCAAACAGGCCGCTAGAGCCTGCAATATGCAGGTGGATCAGTGCTATGCTCGAAAGCAGAAGCATAGCTGCTACCTTATCAGGAGAAACCCTGGGGGCATCCGTGTCTAGAGGGTGTCTGCAGGGGGGCCTGTTCGTCGATGATCTCCTGTTCGGACTTAATGATGATGGGTATTATACAGTAGGATATGCTGATGATATAGCAATCAATGGCAACCTAGATCCAATAGTTTTGGTCATACATAACTCAGGACATGAAAAAAGAACCCATATTACAAATGAGGTCTAACAAACTGATACTGAGACATATATGTGAAAAACCCTTCAGTTAAATTTCCTGACAGGAGTGAATGGGAAGACAGGTTTTGGCCCAATAGAAAAGGGGGACTGATCTGGTATACAGATGGTTTCAAGATAAATAAGAGCACTGGAGCTGATGTGTACTGCCATGGCACGAGGCGGAAACTTAGTTTCAGCCTTGGGCAGTACACGATAGTATTCCAGGCAGAATTATATGCCAATATGGCATGTATTATGGAGAATTTAGATAGGAACTATAGAAATAGGAACATCTACATTCTATCTGACAGCCAAGCTGCACTTAAGGCGCTTGACAAACACAAGATCTACTCAAAATTGGTCTGGGATTGCCACCAAACCCTCATGGAACTGGTCAAACATAACAGGGTACAACTGATATGGGTGCCAGGGCATGAGGGTATTGCTGGAAACAAAACACCAGATCAATTAGCTAATATGAGTTTGGGATACACTTGAAACTAGTTAGGCTGATTAAAATGTGTTTAAACAAAACATATGGTAAATACATATAGGTAAAAATTTGGCTGATAACTTTTGTATCCAGAAGGGTATAAAACAAGGAGATGCTTTATCATCGCTCCTTTTCAACTTTGCTTTAGAATATGCCATTAGGAAGATCCAAGAAAACCAGGTGGGACTGAAATTAAATGGGACACATCAGCTGTTGGTCTATTATGATGATGATGGTGATGGTGATGGTGATGGTGGTGGTGGTGGTGGTGGTGGTGACGACGACGACGACGATGATGATGATGATGATGTGAATCTCCTGGGTGATAATGTAGATATCATAAAGAGAAACACAAACTACCACTGATGCTAGTAAGGAGATTGGTCTAGAAGCAAACAGAGAGGAAACTACTTATATGTTGGTATCTTGTCACCAAAATGCATGACAATATCAGGACATAAAAACAGGTAACAGATGCTTTGAAAATGTGGCACAGTTCAGATAGTTGGGAATGACAGTAACGAATCAAAACCTGATTCGGGAGGAAATTAAAAGGAGATTGAACTAGGGTAATGCTTGCTACCATTCAGTCCAGAGCCTTTTGTCTTCTCGTCTGCCGTCTAAAAAGGCAAAAATTAAAATTTACAAAATTATAATTTTGCCTGTGGTTTTGTATGAGTGTGAAATTTTGTCTCTGAAATTAAGAGGGGAACATAGACTGAGGGTGTTTGAGAACAGGGTGGTGAGGAGAATATTTGGACCAAAGAGAGATAAAGAGACAGGAGGTTGGAGAAAACTGCATAATGAGGAGCTTCGTAACTTGTACGCTTCTCCAAGTATAATTAGAATGATCAAGTCGAGGAAGAGGTGGGCAGGGCATGTAGCACGAATGGGGGCGACGAGAAATTCATATACGCTATTGTTCGGAAAGCTGGAAGGAAGGAGAACACTGGGAAGATGAAGGGATAGGCGGGTACACAATATTAAAATGGATCTCAAAGAGATAGGATGGGATGCGATGGTATGGATTGGATTGATCCAGCTCAGGATAGGGGCCATGGAGGGCTCTTGAGAACACATTAATAAACCTTTGTGTTCCATAAAATGCTGGGAAGTTCTTGAGTAGCTGCACAATTGCCAGCTTCTCAAGAAGGGGTCAGCTCCATGAGTGAGCATGTTTCAAACTCTGATCTCTTCACCACTCTCCCTCACCATTATTTTTAGAATGTTGAACATAATTAGCAATTACTTTGTTTTGTATTGTTCCCTTTATGTTACAGTCTTTCCTTGCCTGTATCAGTGTAAGATTTACTCCCACTGGGTGAATACTCAAATGCCGCAAAATAATAACAACAACAATAATTTTACAACACCTCTGAAGCAAAGGATCATTATTCACACTGTCAGTTTTGCTGCTCTCTCATAATAGAATTTTTGGTTAAAGACAGATAAATTAACTTTTTAATAACGATTCTGTTAATGCTGTTCCACAGTACAAACAATCCCAATGTATCTACTTTGTCTGGCAGCCTTATGGACTTCCTTATGCACATACCTGTTTGCTCCCCCACAACCTCGTTCAGCAAAGTACAAAGAAGAACTAAAGGAACTAAAAACAGTTTACTGTCCATGGTTTAAAGAGATCCATGGTTCATAATAAAAAGTTGTCCCATAACACATCAGAGATAAATAAGAATGGGATAAAAGTGGTAAAGCTATCCCTGTAACAGGCCGTGGAAGCCCATAGGCTTGTGAGCTGTTGAAGTTCCCACATTTTCTAGACAATCAGCTCATAGATGGCGTTAAGGTTGTCAGCCTTATGTGCCACCTGCCTTTAATCCCAAGAATATTCCCGGTACTCATTTCTGTTACAGGCTAAGTCAACAGCAGGGCCATAGTGCGGTTGGAAAGATTAGGTAAACCGAAAAAATCTACCTCATCGCGATTCGATTCCACAACCTTCCAGCTTGTAGCATAGCGCCTCAACCAACTATGCTACCGCGTGCACCCAAGTGAATAGGATACGATAATTTAAAATTTCTAACACAGTTTAACTTTGGCTTTGTAAAATGTTGTAGAAAATAAGTACCTTGCATTGTTGGTTCCTGCTCCCACAAGACCCATAGCAAAGATAGCATTATGAGCAACTTCAGAATCACTGTCATGTGAAAATTTGCTTAGTGTGTCCAAAATACTAAGTTTTGGGTTGGACACAGAGATCAAGCCCAGCGCAAGAGGGACAGACCTCCTTATAACTGGTTCACAGTACCTTAACTGAAAAGATAAAATTGTATCAGATGCACATAATGTAAAATTAGGTGTGGCCCTTACAAGAGACATAAATTTAAGTTGTAGAACTAAACCTTTTGTTACCTACATTTTCTACAATTTTACACTAATTTTGGGAGTAACAGTGACAAATATCAATGTGTCCACAAACTGATGTTACCACATAGTCTACTTACCAAATGGCCAAATGTTCTAAATGCCATTTCAGAACCTATTTCTTCACCCATTGCAATAAGAGCAATGCCCAATACTGCAATGGCTTGCCGTGAGGAGAGGTCTTTGTCTTCTTTCTTTTCCTCTTTCTTTTCCTTTTTATCTTCTTTCTTATCTTCCTATATAAAAAGGGAATTTGTTACAGGACATTTCAAAACCATGCTTATTTTTCAAAATTAATATACTGGAAGTTACAATATGGTATTGTACAGTGCGTACAATCAAGTGCGCGCCGCGGCTGCAATTTGCCGTGAGTCATACCACCGCAGAACGGATGCAGTCGCGGGGAGGAGTTGCAACNCTTCCTGGTACTGTGGGCTTGGCAGTAACAGTTTCTTGTCCAGGAACAAAGGATTTTAAATCTTGCAGTTCTACAGGGCTCATGCCCATACTTTAACTCAGTACTAAAATAAATGCACAGCTAGTAAAGGTAAATTCATTGTTCTCCTTGGCATGGGTATCTAAATACAAGCACTACACAACAATGAAGTTCTATATGTATGCGGGGAAACAGGTGACTGAGTTCTTTGCTGTCATCTGATTTTGCCACAAGAAGTGCTGTTGAATACAGGAAGAAATTAATCAAATACAAATTTTGTTTGAAAGCAGCTTTGGGCCATCCACAAAATTCGTGTACAAGAGTTTTATCTGTGTACTGACAGAAGTGATAAGGAACAGCGACGGGCATTCTGTTTGTTCACAACTTTGCATATTTCACAAATTTTAACTTTAAAATGCCCGACTTTTAACATGGTGGTAGCTTGAACTGCCCACTGCTGGTGCACATTTAAATGCCTGTTCCTGTTAGGATGCTTACAACGTATTTAAAAATGCCATATATAATACAATTTGTATGATAAATGAATGGAATTAACTTTGTTTTTATCAGGAAAGAGCATAGCGCGGCACAGCGTATCGAAAGATTAGAAAATCTTTAGACAAAGAAGTTATACTCTACTTTTATTTTTTCTTGTAATTTTTATGCATACTGTAAAAATTGTTCCATGCTTCTTCAAAGGGTAGTTCTGCATTATAAAATCACTCCTACTTCTAGCAGTTGAAATATCTCCACATTCTCTGGTGCCATAAACTGGCTGGAAGCAATAAAATCATTTGGTTCTCTGCTAGCAAGTATCACATCATAGTTGCACTCTTCAGATATTCCACTCTTTTGACTAAAGGACAGAAAAGTGAATGCATTGCAGTTCAAGGAAGGTTACAGGGTCTTTTTCTTCCCTTCTTCAGTATAAAGTCCTTCCACTGCGTTTGAGATAGAATATTGCCCTTTCTAAAGTCGTAAACAAACACATGCATCTTAGCTCAGATACAGTGTGTGTTCAGTTTTCTGTGAGTTCATGGTGAATTTGAATATTGTAGTTTCATATCATCATCAAATGACAATGATACGTTGTTTGGAAGAAAATGAAACTGAAAGACAACTGAAGTGCAAGATACGTGATGTGGGACTATACATTTTTGGGTGCTCCAAGAGGTATCATACAAAGGTGAGATTCAGTTATACAACATATACATCAATCAGGTAACTACAAACTACAAAAGAAGGTATGTACATTGATTTTTACTCTATTTAAAACTAAATATGTAGGATTGGGAATTTGCTTCTATTAGCGGAGTGTGTGCGCTTCCACTAGTGGATGTTAAATGCCCGACTGTAAAAAATTTGTGTTCTTCGGTCAGGATGACCATACTTATCACTGTACCGATCAGTGCACTCTGGACCTTAAAGGTTAAACATAATGCAGGGGCCTACTGGGCTATTCATGATGGGTTGACAAAATCACAACTGGAGGTGTTCAAAGCAGGAATGGGAAGTATCAAAGAAGTCAAGAGCACACAGACACATATTAAATGCATTAACTAACCTTCTCAGCTGGCTCATAATGTTCACTGCAAATGTGAAGTAAGTTCTGAATTTTCAGCACATTTCCAGTTCCTGCATATGCACACACCTCAACTAATGTCATTGACATGGACTTGAATGGTTCAGGTATAACTTCAAGAGCTGCAATTATAGCCTCCACAGCTTCCTGTCTCCCTGGAAGAGAATGGCAGATAAGTGGAGTGTTTCATTTTATAATCACTCTCTAATGCCATGTCCAGTCTGCTATGAAAGGTTAAGGACTAGGCAAAGAAATGTGGTATCTGTGACAGGCAAAAGAAATAACCGCTATGAGCTGAATATCACACTTTTGCTTCATATTCAGGAGGCACAGGAATGGGGCTACCCTTCGTCTTCATCAGTCCTGCCAGCCAAATTCTGGAACAGTGCCTCAAATTTGGCAACAACCACTTCCCTTTACAACCTTTCCAATTCATTTAATGTCATATGGTCTGGGTTAGTGGCAGCATCCATAAGTACATAAACTATTACTTACTGCACAAACAGGCCGCGCCATAGCTCAAGCGGTTAGTCGCTGGCTTCCCACCGCAGCGGCCCGGGTTTGATCCCAGGTCTGGTCAAGTGGGATTTCTGGTGGTAAAAGTGGCGCTGGGGCAGGTTTTCTCCGAGTACTTCGGGTTCCCCTGCCAATCTTCATTCCACCAACTGCTCCACAATCACTCTCACCCATCATCTGGGGCTGGTACAATAGGCCAGAAGTGGCCGCAGTACAAGGGACTTAGACCCATCCCACTAGCATTACTGTACAAATATATTTTTGGTAACATAAAAATAATTGTCAAGGGCATACACTGACTAAAAGGCATTTATATCGATGAGATTTCATTATTTTCTTCTTATGGAATAGGTACCATGTTTGTAAATGTTACCACACATGGCCTTTAACAAAGTTTTGGAAGACAAAAAGACTGTGAATATATTTTTAATGTAAGTAAAACATGAAGAAAGCAGTCTTCTGGGATTTGGCACCGTGTATATGTGGTGTTAACCGACGTTTCGGAGGAACGTATCGCCTCCATCTTCAGGGTTGAAGAAGTATAGGTAAATCTGCAAGCGACAACACCGTGAGACACGGTCATGACAAAATCTGATGTGAGCCCTTCTTACCAAAGCAAGGAATATATACTCTACCAAAAAGTCTTCATATGTGACTTAAGGTTCAATTTGGAATTTAAATTGGACAAATTCCTTCAGATTGTGTTTCAATCTGAAAAACTGAAGATGGTCTCCCATTAACCTTCATCAGTGCTTCTCTGTAGTTCCTTCAAGTCAAGAACATCTAGAACAAATGGTACCATTGACACATCCATTTTGCTTTTAAACCACCAACCAGATTCATCAGTTTGAGTGTACCACTTCATTTTTATGCACAGGAAGGGTCTCCCAGGACAATATTTGCATAACTTTGTCACACTTGTCTGATACACAAAAATGTTCAAACACCAATCACTCATAAAAATCCTGATAAAATATTGAAATAGTCATCTGTCATTAGTGGTTTTTATTAACCTTTATCATTTGGGAGAATGAGGTTTTAAACCTCCGGGTACTATGCGGTTGGTGGCTAGATATTAACCTTGGATAACAGATCATGTTGACATTTAAAATTTAGTAGTATGTGACTAGAAGCCATATGTCAACTCAGTGATTACGTATTAACGCTGAATAATACTTGGTCAGCTGGACTGTGCACATATACCATTAGAATTATACAACACAGGGCTGGTGAAAGTTAACTCACCAAGATGGCACAGACCCAATCCTAGAGGCAAAAATCTGGCATACGTATCATGAAGGTCAGCCTCAGACTTCTCCATCAAAGTCTGGACAATGGTGGCTGTGACATCAGGATTGCAGGATCCCACAGCAATCATGCCACATGCCAAGCCAGCCATGCCCACTACTTCCATACTGGATTTGGGATCACTGAATACTGGTGTCAAAAGACTCAAAACTGCTTCTCTGTTAGATCCAGCATATGCCAAACCAAGACCTGCAAAAACACATTACAAATCATTATAGTGGCTAAAAATCCCTAGATGAATGTGTACCTGACAAACCTGAAATACTGATAATTGAGAGCTTTGTAATAAAATCTCCTGGGAATTTATATTATCTCCTCTCTATTACCATCATCATCATCATCATCATCATCATATAATTACAAAAATCCACCTCAACACACACACACGTTTACTTGTACTTCCCATGTCCATAGAAAAAGCCACACGTTTCAGTCAGTCATGGTTTCATTATTTTACACTTCACAAGTTAAAGAAAATTAAGAGAACATGCAAATTGTTCAAAAGATACATCAGCAAAAAGAAACAAAAAACAAAGGTCCTTCAATGCTACAGGATAGTTACTTCCCACTCACTCCTGGGGGATGCAGGATATTTCAACATTTAAAACCAAAAAATAAACGTAACATTTCACTTGAACTATAATAAATCGGAAAAATAATTTTCTCCTAATTTTTACACAATTCTGAAAACCAGAAGCACAGTACGGATCCACAGTACTCCAAAAATATTTTTGTAACAGTAAGTTTATAAAAATTATGAATAACAGTATCATATTACTTTATAAATTGAGCTTGGTGTGATAGTCTTGAAAACATTCCATGCAGAGCACCAGTACACAGTGTCCTTCCTCTTCCCACACTTCTAACACACAGCACACTGTCTCCGTGGTCTCGATTTATTCTCAGTTGGTAGAAGCTTGCTTAGAGAATGCCTTTCTATTAGAGGGGCATTGTGTTGCCTGATGAATGTTGACCTTCCGCAGATGTATCATACTTCACAAATAGTCCTTCAACTAAATGAATTCTTAATGACAACCGATCACTTCCTCTCCCTGTGTTATTCCTATATATAGTCATCACATACAGAATCAAGGTATTCAAAAGCCTGTGATACAGCTTCATATAACATTTATTTATTCGTTTCCTCTCAGTCAAATAAGAATGCATCTGGTCATTGAAACCGACCCCCATCGCTGATTTGTTGGAACCCAACACTGAAATGGATTTGACTACTTCCTTGCCTCTAACTGTTACAGTCTGGGTGTCATGACTGTGTTCTGTGGAACTCAAGGTGACAATTCTTTTACATTTACATTTACGTTTATTTTCACTTCATGGATCCAATGACCTCCCGGTAGGGCTGGATATAAAACATGTCACACATTACAAATTCATGATGACTACACACCGTACGTACTTGGTTCGATAAAATATATAATCAGGCCTCGTGCAGACAGAACAAGTTGTCAAGACAACACACATAAGTCGTGGAAAAACCACTGTCACATTCGACCCTGAACAAAATTCCTCATATTTCCAACCGTAACAACTCTATGCTGCGCAACTGCACACCTTGCCATTCCACACACACTAGCCAGCCATATCATCAATACAGTTTCATTATATTTATTATTTCATTATATTTTTGTCACTCTATTTTGCGATCTGCGCTACGATTTCACCTATTTTTAGTTTTGTGTTTTTCACAGGAACATTCTTCCAGTTCAATTGCAGTGTACAAACACAGTTTTGCATATGATTTTCAGTGTCATGGATAGAGACACTGAATTATAGGAATTATCCATCCACACAGTCTGACCTTGTTTCAAAAGAGATTCTACCAGTTTTAGAACAACAGCTGTTGTTTTACTGGTGTCAGCTGTGATGAAGGGGCAGTCAACTTTCGTGTCCTTGCCTGTATATACAAGGAAGGGCCATAAGTACCTTTCGCCAACATCACACAGCTCATACGTTTTAATTCCAAATTTGGGTGCCCTGAAAGGCAGGTACCGTTCGAAAGGCAAGCAACCTTTTCAAAGCATTAATAATTCATCTACTGAATCATCATGATTTGGAAGGTACATTTCCTGAAATGTGTTATTCAAATATGAAATTACTGAGAAAATTTTAAAAGTATTTCTGGTTCTGGTCCTTCCCACGTTACTTGGGTCCCTTGTCACCACAGCATAGCACGTCCTAAGGTTGCGGATAGAGGACGTGCCCTCCAGTTTTGGAGGGAAGCTGCAAAAATACTGACTAAGCATTCGCGGCCAGCCAACAAGGGGTGGTTCTCCAGCTTGGGGGTTGGGCATGGGGCTATGTTTTCAAACCAACGATTGGGAATGAGAGTTTGCATGAAATTAGTAATGATAATGGAGTTAGAGTAGTAAACTTTGCCACATCAAAAAAATCTTACTGTTCCACATCGTAACATCCATAAATTTACATGGTCATCTCCTGATGGGAAGATACACAATCAAATAGACCATATTTTGATAGACAGGAGACAGCACTCAAGTATATCTGATGTCCTATCATTCAGGGCGGAGATTGTGATACTGATCACTACTTGGTGGTGGCAAAGGTTAGGGAAAGACTGGCAGTGAGCAAACAAACAACACACAGAGTTCATATGGAGAGGTTCAATCTCAAGAAATTAAATGAGGTAGAGTGTAAAGAGCAGTATTGTGTTGAAATCTCAAATAGGTTCGCCGCTTTGGAAAACTTGGAAACTGAGGTGGATGTTAATAAACTTGGGAAATTATCTGAGAGAATACAAAAATGTCAGCCAAAGAGAGTCTAGGTTATTATGAACCAAAGAAGCATAAGCCATGGTTCGATGAAGTATGCTCAAAATTATTTGATCAAAGAAAGCAGGCCAAATTGCATTGCTTACAGGATCCAAGCAAGTTAAATGGGGATAATCTGAACACTATAAGATGTTAAACCAACAGGCATTTCAGGAACAAAAAGAGGGAATATCTGAAAGAAAAAATTGATGAACTTGCAATGAACAGTAAGAACAAGACCATTAGAGACCTGTATAGAGAAATAAATGACTTTCAAAGGGGTTACCAGCCAAGCAGTAACTTAGTGAAGGATGAAAATGGTGATCTGCTTGCAGATTCCCACATTTTGAATAGGTGGAGGAACTACGCTCAGTTAGGCAGACAGAAGTCTATACAGCTGAGCCATTAGTATCTGAGGTTGAAAGTGCTATTGCAAAATTGAAACGGTATAAATCGCCAGGTAGTGATCAAATTCCGGCAGAACTTATTCAAGCAGGAGGTGAAATATTACGTTCTAAGATCCACAATCTAATTACTTCTATTTGGCATAAGGAAAAATTGCCTGATCAGTGGAAGAAGTCTATTATTGTACCAGTTCACAAGAAGGGTAATAAAACTGACTGTAGTAATTATTGGGGGATATCACTGCTATCAATTTCATATAAAATTTTGTCCAATATTCTTCTTTCAAGGTTAAGTCCACATATAGATGAAATTATTGGGGATCATCAGTGTGGGTTTCGACGTAACAGATCAACTACAGATTGACCTTTTGCATTCGTCAGATATTGGAGATAAAATGGGAGTACGATGAGACAGTACATCAGCTATTCATAGACTTCAAGAAAGCCTACTATTCAGTTAGGAGTGAATTATTGTACAATATTCTGATAAGAGTTTGGGATACCCATGAAACTAGTTAGGTTGATTAAAATGTGTTTAAATGAAATGTATAGTAAAGTCCGTGTAGGTAAACATTTGTCTGATAAATTTCCTATCCAGAATGGTCTAAGACAAGGAGATGCTTTATTGCCAATCCTTTCCAATTTTGCTTTAGAATATGCCATTAGGAAGGTCCAGGGAAACCAGGTGGGACTGAAATTAAACGGAACACATCAGTTGTTGGCCTATGCCAATGATGTGAATCTACTGGGCGATAATGTAGATACCATAAAGAAAAACACACAAACTTTAATTGACACAAGTAAAGAGGTTGGTCTAGAAGTAAACACTGAGAAAACTAAGTATATGTTGCTGTCTCATCACCAAAATGCAGGGCAAAATCATGATATAAAGATAGGATGCAGATGTTTTGAAAATATGGCACAATTCAGATATTTGGGAACAATGATAACAGATCAAAACCTGATCCAGGAGGAAATTAAGAGGAGATTGAACTTGGGCAATGCTTGCTACCATTCAGGTCAAAACCTTTTTTCTTCTCATCTGCTGCCCAAAAACATAAAAATTAGAATATAAAAAACTATAATTTTGCCTGTGGTTCTGTATGGGTGTCATGCTTGGTCTCTGACATTAAGGGAGAGCATACAAGTAGACTGAGGGTGTTTGAGAACAGGGTGTTGAGGAGAATATTTGGACCGAAGAGAGATAAAGTGACACGAGGTTGGAGAAAACTGCACAGTGAGGAGCTTCATAACTTGTACTCTTCTCCAAGTATAGTTAGAATGATCAAGTCAAGGAGGATGAGGTGGGCAGGGCATGTATCATGAATGGGGAGACGAGGAATGTGTATAGGATATTGGTGGGAAACCCAAAAAGAAAGAGACCCCAGTGAAGACCAAGGCATAGGTGTGTGGACAATATTAAAATGGATCTTAAGAGAGATAGGATGGGATGGTATGGATTGGACTGATCTGTTTCAGGATATGGACCAGTGGAGGGCTCTTGTGAACATGGTAATGAACCTTTGGGTTTCATAAAATGCTGGAAAATTCTTGAGTAGCTGCAGAATTGGTGGTTCCTCCAGAAGGGTTCAGCTCCGTGAGTGAGGAAGTTTCTGGTCCTTTACAATTTCTGATCACTTCATTGTTCGTGAAATGCAAAGAAATTACATATTAGTTCTGATTTGTCTCATGTTATAACTAACTAACCAACCAACTAACTTCATGGAGCTGAGCCCTTCTTGATAAGCTACCAGTTGTGCTACTAGTCAAGAACACTGCAACATTTTACATTACTTGAAGGTTCATTACCTTGTTCTAAAAAGCCCTCCACTGATCCCTATCCTCAGCAATATCAATCCAGTCCATTCTACCCCATCCCACCACTCTTAAGTTTCATTTTAATATTATCAACCCATCTATGTCTTGGTCTTCCCAGGGGTTTTCTTCCTTCCGGCTTTCCCACCAATATCCGATATGCATTTCTCTTCTCTCCATTTTGAAGTACATTCTGGCATAACAACCTGTTCNTGGGGGGGGGGGGCTCTTTAAGGATTTTGGCAATTCTTTGCTAGACTTTATTGCTGTCTATGCAAACTGGTGTTCACTTTGCCAGTTCTTCTGCAAATGCAGCACTGATGTAGTAACAGTCAGCATAACCAACATGGCTTTTGTTGACTAGCTGACCTAACAACCACTTTGCTACCGCAACAGCACTACTCTCCAGTTCAGGATCCTTCCAATGGTACATCTCAGAATTCCTTGCATACCAAGCATTTAATTTCGCAAGATTGGATAAGTATATGCCATACTTATTGGGCTCCTGAATTGTGTAAAATCTTAATCTACTCCCTGAATAGACACATCCTTTCATCAAGAATGACTCCTTCAGATTTGTATATCTGCTGGAATTTATCTGTTGGTTTCTGAAGCAAAAGCATGACTCTGAAGAGGGTAATGAAGCTATCTTTACCTGCCTTCTTTTATTAGCTACCATCAGTGAGGAAAAACATTGACAGAATATTGAAAAATCTGACGAGGCAGCGTACTCAAGACAGGAATTGTGACCCAGTGCACGGTCTGCACTCCAGTGGCTTTCAGTGTTTGGTGTTTGGCTGATTCACACGTGCAGAAATCTTAACAAGGAACTATTTTCTTTCTAACTGGGCCATGGCTGTCCACAGTCTTAACACTTCGCGGACCTGCGATTTAAATATTTAAATCGCCCTGGGGACCGGCATTTTTAAACCTACTACCCTAACTTGAGCGCTGTTCACTTTAAAAATTAATATAAAATCTCCTAATTAATTTTATGAACTAAAATTTTTGGAGAACACTTACCAATGCTTCTAGAAGTGCTTGAGAGTGTGATATTTCTGGAAATATTCCCCTTTGCGAGGTAGCATTACACAGAACTTGCAACGTAGACAGTCATACTCCTTTTTTGTGAACTGTGCAAACACAGCACTGCCTAGAAGGATGCTTCCCCTTGGAATGTTCAGTCTTCACAATTTTCACAAGGGTATGTTTCCGCACATCACCCGAGAGTCGCCCAGGGGTGTCCACATGAGGATTGCGTGGGGTGGGAGTTGACGGGCCCCGTCGCACTAAGTCTGTGCCTGACTCTGGTTCTGCCACCACCACCTGGTCTGTAGCCCAGGCCTTTCCCACATTCATCAGAAATACTTTGTATTTCAATTTTGAATCAGGGTATAGATTTTTGTAAACCAAAAATAAATTGAAAATGGCACAATTTATAAGCCACAAGGCAACTTTCTTTGTCCACTTTATTATTTTCCTAGGAAGAGAACAACAGGCCAAGTATTGATCGGCTCTATCAACTCCCTTCATGAACATATTATACTCAGAAATACAAATAGGCTTCTTTACTTGTCCATGTCTCCCTTGAACATCAACCATGTTCGAATTGTAAATTGTGGAAATCATATTCACAACACGAGTATCCCTATCTCCAAAAAATAGTTCTGCTATTTCAGACATTTGCGTTGGGTCCAATGGAATTTGCTTCACCCCTGGATTTTCAGTAAACTCTCCCAAAGCAGGCATTTTGTCTACTTTTCCCACGTGGCTGTCCCCACAATGTTGCTACCTGCACTTTCATCAGAGCTACAGTCACTTTCACCTTCACTTTGTCTGTGGCCACATTTTTTTGTTTGCCCCTACCACACTCATTAATAGATTGTGAGTTGCTATCACTAGCAGAATCACAAGGGATGTCAGATAGCTCATCAGAGAACAAGCAGATATTTCTTGTCCTCCGGGAAAACGCTTGAACCTCAACCTCTTCCGACCTTGATCCATTTTGCTGTAGTAAATTCCTGCCTGGTGCATGCAGCTGGAAGATGAACAAAGGCATTTTCTTTTGGAGTGGGAAAGGAAAACAGCTGGGTCATAAACAGCGGGGTCATGTTACTGGCTACAAAGCAAACATTCAAGAGGTCTATCACGCACCAGTCATGCGTCTGCCTGGCGCCAGTGCAAGGTAAGGTGTGTTTCAACATAACGTGTCCTAAAATCATAATAACATGCCACCGGTCCGCCACGTTTAAAAGCACTGGGCATAAAAATATGCCACTGGTCCGCAAAGTGATAATCAGAGCTCAGGCTCAACTTATTATGGGCCCTCAGTTTATCCCTTTTTTGCCTTGCATAGAAATTAATTTTGTCATTCATTCTTGGAATTAGTTCTAAATCAATATAATGCCAAAAAAAAAACACATATGATTCTTCCAAGCCAACTCCCTGCTCCACTCCATGGGGACCTGAATATGTTGCAATATCAGGGATATGATTGACATCCCGGCTCTCTTCAGGGTCACAGGGCAAAAGCAGATGCACAAGGTGCCTCACTTTCATCAATTTCATTGAATGATACACGGTCTGAGTCTGTAATAACTACAAACTGCTGTCCATACATGTCAGCAAATGGGGAGAGGAAGATCTAGTTCATGAAACGGGTGATGCTTAGATGTACTTTAATCTGCAGAAGAAACATAGTTATCAATGTTATCCAAATTTTCATGAATACAATTCTCATGGTCCCTACTTCATTTAAGATCACTTGAATAACCCTCAAGCATTCTTCCTCTGCACTGTTTCCCATGGCAACAAAGCACACACAAATTACAGCAGAAAATAACCAAACTGCTGACAGCTGCAATAACATTGCAGTTAGAAAAATAACATTTCTTTGACTATAGGTATCATGTGACTGTACTGAGAGATACTGATATATGGTGGTAAACAGGTGAACTGTGCAACTGGACCAGAAACATTATGTTCAAATTTTGCCAACACAGTGGAAATTCAAGGTGTGTACTATTTCTGTAGTCAAGTCTTTAGCTCAATTCCCCCACACACAGTAACTATCATGGCAGCCACACCCCACATGTTAGTGTTTATTATTCTGTTAACATGGAGTAATGAAAGTATGATAAAAAAGAGAATGACATACATGGTACTAACCCACAATAGCTCCAATGCGCATCACATTGCTACTATGTAGAACATAATCTGAGAGCAACGCAAGGGCAGGGTCACACTCATTTCTCACTCCACAGTTCACAATACCACATGCCAGGAGGGCCCCAGACTGCAAACAGTAATCTCATGTCACAAATTCAAACACTTTTATAGGAGATTCTAGTTTTCCTATATATACAGAATGTCCCAGGAGGAATGTTCCAGTCTTCGGGAGGGTGTTCCTTATGTTAAAGTATGCCGATATAACCCAAAACACCTATGTCGAAAGTTGAACGGTTACAGAGTTAATGGCCCAAGAAAAGTGTGGTCTTCTGGCGGGTCCACGCACTGTACCTGTCAGCTGACAAGTCTTATCGATGTTTGACCTTGAGTGTGGTGATGACGGCTCACACTAGCCGCATACACTCGCATACCAGAATGCGCAGTCAGCCATGTTACATCAGTGCATGCCATTCATGTGTCATGTATAGTGCTTGGAACCCTAACAACAAGTATGACATGGTATGCGAGTTTTTTTCGTAGTTCAATTTAATGGCTTCATGTCACTCACAAGTTTGTTTTATGTTACGTACATTATTAACATTACAGAAACCACATATGCCTGCCAGTTTTAATATGTATCTGGTAATCAACAAGTGTGTAACACCTGTCAAAGTTTCACAATTCTCTGGCCATTATCTCCATAACCGTTCAACATTGGACATACGTGTTTAGGGTTATATTGGCATACTTCAACATAAGGAACACCCTCCCAAAGTCTGGCACATTCCTCCTGGGACACCCTGTATATAATATATATATATATACATATATACACACAGGATTAGTGGACAAATTTTAATTCAGCAATAGGTTATCATCTTGGAATACGGGTTTTTAAATTTCCTGGTATTATGGGGCCAGCAACTTTACTGTACCTTAAAACGATATTAACACAAAAAGTGAAATACCTGGTAAGTTGGACTGTGTGCATGCTCCACTGCTATGATGCAAAGCACAACTGGTAAAGGTAAATGTGCATATTCCATATAAAAAATACATGTAAGTTCATCCAGTTCCCGATTACTTAGTTTGTCAAACAGCTGTTGTCTGATAAAACACCACTGCAAGATTCTGCACTTCACTGCATAATTCCAGGACATTCTTTCCAAAATAATTACAAATTTACTGTAAACATAAATACTTACCTTAATGTAATCTTCTGCTGAATATAGGTATTTATCAATAGGAGTCAAACCTCCATCAACATCCCACAGCAAGACCAGGCCCAAAGAGGCTGTTGCACTAAGCATTCCTGAAAATTCATTTTTCTTTAATATAAATCTACTTGGTATACCCTCTCTGTTAAAGTAAAAAATAAAAAGTAAAGGTATCCCTGTAACTGGCTGTGGAGGCCCACAGGGTTGTGAGATGTTGAAGCTCTCACATTTTCTAGACAACTGGCTCATAGATGGCAGCAAGGCTGTCAGCCCTACATGCCAGCCGCCCTTTAACCCCAAGAATATTCCTGCTACTCATTTCTGTTAGAGGCTGAGTCAACCCCCAGGGCCATAGTGTGGCTGGAAGGATTAGGTCAACTGAAATAAATTCAATGACCTCATGACCTTCTGGCTTGTAGCATAGTGTCTCAACCAACGACGCTACTGCGTGCCCCTGTACACCCTCTCTGTATATACACCAAAGCCATGTTTCTCCTGCAGGACAAATAGATGGCATTCCGGTAGAAACAACACAAATACCTACTTCTGAATGAAAGGAGAGGAACAGATCATGTTGAATTTTAAAGTTGTTATGACTTTTTATCTAAAATGACTGAAGAAAAAATGGAACATTCATATTAGAGCCAGTTGACTTTCAGTGGGCCAGAACGAGATTCTCTTAAAAGAACAGACTGCTTACACAGAGTGGGAAAGCTGTACAGGTTTTAATTCTATATTTTTAGTCAAAGGGCCCTCATATGGTAAGCACTTTATTTCTTCTCACATATACCTGTTCCTCATAACATAAGATCCATGAAAATCTGTCTGTATTAACTACCGGAAATTTATAGTAAAGCATGTATTGAATATACCTCTCTCTTACTATACAGCCTGATAAATAAATAAAGCAATATGAATGGACCCACCACTATGTGATCTTATGAAAACTATCCTAATTTAAGTGAAATGTTGCTAATATCCATCAGTTTACACTGGGAAAGAAATAATGACTATCATGATGATGTATTTATTTAAGGTTTATTTCATGACAGTGTGAATAGCTCAAACTATACAGTGTCAAATGAGACCATTAGCTAAAGTTGTTCCTCTGCTTCACTATCATGCCATGAAGATGAATAGGGGAATGGAGGTCTTGCCCTACACATTCTTAAGCCCTGGCACTAAATGGAAGTGAGCAGTCAGCTTCATGCCTGTCTCTTTACCTACCAGTACATACTGGATAAGCTGTGTGGGACCACAGCCAGTCTGGACAACTGAAGAAGAGAAAAACTCTGGCCATGCCAGGAACTGAAGCCTGACTCCCCACTTGCCCACTCAACATACTCCCTGACATCTCCTGGCATCTCATGATAACAGTAAATGGAAGTAATATCAGATATAACATTCATTTATAGTTTATTTAAGCACAATAGATCACAGAAGGTCACAGTGCAGGGGCCGGTTTTTAAGGCCCACCCCTTACACACATTACATCATGGTTCACTTAATGATGCTATCAGTAACTTGGACTATACAGCATCAAACAATAGAACTGTCAGTGAATAATGAACTGGAAAGGATGGAGAAGGAAGTTTTGGATGGCCTAATTTCAGGATTTAGAATGGCAACTGCCTGAAGGGGCTGAGGAAAACCGCTAATAATCTCAGTTAGGACAGTGGTTGCCATGCTGAGATATGAACTCAGGACCTCCAAAATATGAAACAGAAGGGCTAACCACTAGACTGTGATTATTGCACAATATAATGTAACTAGTTACTACCATGTTCCTTATTTTTGTAGAGCCATTTGTTTCCATCTTCCACTAACAATTTGTCATGCCCAAATGCAGCATTCACAAAGCCATTCACAAAGCTGGCTGCAAGATTCTGGCGAGCAGAATCAACTTGACCTCCACCAAATGGTGGTCTTGAGTTCTCCAAATGTGATTTGTATACATCTTCAGGGGTTTTTGGTTCCATAATATCAAGCTGAAAGACAACAATTCTTATGTCAACATTGTCTAATTTCATTATAATCGAATCAGGATTATAACCATTAAGAAATCAAGTTACAGCCAGTACCTGTTCTCACTAGCTGAAATCTCCATTTGATATTTGGGGAATTGTGGGGGTGAACCCTAAAACTAGGGGAACAAGAGATGAAGACTGACACATTGAGGCTGAACCCACAAAAATCCAACATTAAATAACAAAATCTCTTGAGCTTAGAGACAGTAAAAGAGGGTTCCACTGTACATTATACAAAGGTGAGGAACTGTTATGCAGATGTATCCGGAATCCTACAAAGAATACTTTAATTGTAGGTAACAAATTCTAGAGACTGCAAGCACGAGCTTGAGGACATAATTATGACAACCATTCATTATGATGAAGTCATCTCAAATTTACAAATGGAGAGAACCTACAGTTCACATACGGTACCATTAAATGGTGGTCAAGAAGTCTGACAAATTAGTTCAGAAGGTGGCACAGGAAATACAGTTGACACTTCTAGACACAAACTGAACAACTAATGTCACTCAGCTAACCCACAACTTCTGCTCCTTCTATGAGAAGCAAATGTTCATGGCCATGTTCACAAGAGCCTGCCATTGGACCCTATCCTGGGTCAGATGAATCAGGGGATCCACACTAGTTACAGTCCAGACCTCAACACACAAGGGGTGACTTGACATCCACCCTATATCAACATAATACAATACAGATGAGTCCAGCCCAAATACTCAAACCCCATTTCCTCTAGATCCACTTTAATGCTATTATCCCATATATGCTTAGGTCTCCCGAGTGGTCTCTCTTCCTTTCAGGTTTTCCAAGAAAAATTCATTGTGCATTTCTCATTGCTCCCACACATGCTACATGCCCCATCCAGCTCATCCTTTTACATTTGTTGATTTGTGTGGGTAACACATATGCAGAACTGAATAAATCACCATAAAACCATGGCCCAAATTATACCAACACAGTGGTGTGGAAATGGAAATCATTTGTCCATTGATTAACATGAAAACAGTTACACAGCTTACCTCACGAGCAAGATTCAAAAAGTGATTATTTAAATGGGCATTTGACATAATTTCAACAAGATCATCATATTCAACCATATTCTCATTCAATTCAAGGAAGACCTGTTGCCTCCCCAACATAAAAGCTAACTGCTTCTGCATGGACCTGCAACAGCAAAATACATAAATAAATATATATAATATACAAACTGGGATCACATCACAATCCTCCTACAGTTTACGATCTTCCTGCAGTTAACGTTCTTTTTCCATGGAGTCAGTGTGACTGTGGTTTATTAACTGTACACTTTCCTTGCCTTGTTCATTAACCATGTCAAAGAGGATGTAAAGAAAGGAAAAAAAGAAAACTGGCTTACAAGTTAACATCTTACCTAAATAAAAACTTGGGCAACATTGAAAAAACTGCATCTTGAAGTCTGACTGAAAGTGGATCAGCCATTCTCAAAATATTTTCATTTCACTCCACCAAATGCAATCATTCCATGAAAATCGATAGTATAAAAGAGCTCATAGCATCATACAATGTGACTGATTTATAAAAGTTGTATTTCAATATTTCATTTCTCTTAACGTGTTTCGGTCGGGTTGACATTCTTCAGAAGGACACGATCAACATTTAGGAATCCACTATTACAATGTTATTAATATATAACAGTTATATCTTGTAACTACATTAAGTACATGAAGTAATTGGAACATTTATAAGTTACTATAACTAAATTATTTACACAATCAAGTATTTAGAAGTAAAGTTATAAAAACTTTTTGTTAAAACTAGAACCAGTGGTTCATGTCTTGAAATATCTTCTCATTAAAGGAAGAACATTGTCTATCACAACACAGTTTCAATGCCTGTAGAACAGGGAGCAACATTTATAGTATGGGTATTATGAGGTGTTTCTATGGTCCTAATATTATGCGATGATGAGTTTCTTATTTTAGTTCTACCTTTAGTGTCATGGTCCTGTCATGCAGAGCATTTTGTGTTGTTGTACTATTCTAAGGTATACCCTACCATGTATTTATAACCCTTGCATGTCATGTCATATCTATGGGCATGAAGTAATGTTTACTAATACGTCAAACATATCATTCCGATTATGGTTCTCCTTATTATGTTTCTGCTCTTCTGTTAGTTTCTTGATTTTATTAAGGCGATAAATGTGGAAGTTTTCTTCTATGTTCATTAGGTTCCCTTTTCTAGCATATTCCACCATTTCCATGATTGCTGTTATAGCTCTGTATTGATGTAGATTATTTAGTATATGCTGGACAAATGCCAACTCATCTTTGTTAAAACCTATGTTCATTATAGGTTCTCCATATCTCCTTGTTAAATTCGTGCCGGATTGGCCAATGTACACTTTATGACAGCTTTGGCATGTTAATTTATAAATTCCACTTTGCTCATAAAGGTTCATTTTTTGCTTCTCCTTCAGTAGTCTGCTTATGGTGGAAGTTGTTTTATATGCTATGTTTATGTTGGTGTTTCTCACCTTCCTCAATGTGCAATTTGTCATCCGTGGAAATGGACTGTGGGTACTATAAGTATTCATGTAAACTTCACATTTTTCAGTTTTCCACAAAAATTATTTCTACTTGTTGGATGAGAGTGAGTCCTTCAGTACTGGGCCTCAAATGGACATATTATAACAGCCCCTGATGACACTAAAAATGGTAGAATAGTGGTTACTGTATATACCACTTGCATTAACATACTGAAAACCTGCATTCTGCCTACAGAGTGTACTTGTGTGTTCTGTATGGTTCTCACAATAAACAGCTACTGTTTCCCTAAACAGAATTAACCACCTAGTCTTTGCAGCAGACAAAATGTGTTTCCTGTGAGGCATGAACAGAATTCTTATATATCATTTACAAGAAATTCAATCTTTAAAGGGATAATATATGGTTGGAGAAAACATGTCCCAGTGTCACTTTGTCCACCACAAATCCCATTCAGACTGCCCTGGACTCCACAATGAGAAGCCAGTGACTGAATGAGCTATGGTGAAGTCAAAATTTGCTTACATATGGTATGTTATTTACCCTACAAGAATATAATTACACATTGGCAGACCCATGAAAGTTTCAATTACTTACAGGTCTTTACATGACGTGAAGATCTCTTCAATCAAATGCATATCATTCAGTTGCATTGCAACCCTTAAGGCTTGAGGATACTGATTAAAACGCTTGAAGAGACGCAGAGATGCTTGAAGTAGTGTAGTGTTCTCAGGGTCTGCCACATAAGGTACACAGCTAAAATAAAAAAGTGAATTAGCTGAAAATATTCAAAACAAAGGAACAAGAAAATCACAGGACACCAGTTTTGCCAGCACAGAACTACTCCTTCTATTATGCTCCCAGGAACTTACTCGTAGATCTGATGCATTTATATATAAGCAAGTGAGACTGATCCCAGCCATGCCATAGCTCAAGCGGTTAGTCGTTGTCTTCCCACTGCGGCCGCCCAGGTTTGATCCTGGGTCTCATCAAGTTGGATTTGTGGTGGACGAACTGGCGCTGGGGCAGGTTCTCTCAAAGTACCTCGGTTTCCCCTGCCAATCTTCATTCCACCAACTGCTCCACAATCACCCTCACCTATCATCTGGGGCTGGTACAATAGGTCAGAAGTGGGACTTAGTACAAGGGACTTAGTCCCACCCCACTAGCAATTAAAAAAATGAGACTGACGACTCTCTTGCTTGGTGACTACTTCCCCTCAGGTACTGGAACAGTGGGGATGCAGGTAGGAAGAAAGGTGCAGAGGCCTTTGTAGAAGGAATTTCTCAGCGACAGAGCTACACAGCCTTCCAACCTTTACCAACAAAATGCATGCACAAAAAATGTGTCTTACCTGCTGCTAAATGTGAACCTAAAGGCATCTACAAGCTTAAAAACAGAAATTAAGGGTAAAATTTAAATTCAGATTACAGATACCTTTCTATCATATTACAAGCCACATCCCTGAAAACTGTAATATTGATATCCACCAGCAAGACCTCAAATCTCATAAAACTTAGAATGTCTGGATAAAATAAATAATAATATGAATCTACAAAGCTGAAATAAAGCCACAGGGACTGCACAATTGAGCGAAAAAAAAAAACTGTTTTTATATATACAATGAGTCTTAGACATATAATATTGTCATGTGTTGGGTGTATAATGCGACAAATAACTTTACACCGTATTGGATATAGCGAATTTTATTTCACACTCGCTCTTACAACCACACCATTTACAATTTCACAATTACTGCCATCGGCAGTATCACAAATACTAGACTGCAATTAACTGGTTACTCTTTCTCTAGTAACTGGTTCAATCCTCACTGTCTAATCACTCACTACTAACTCACTACTAACTACTAACTGGTGTTCGCTGCTCCTTATTTAGCCTCAGAACGGACAAGACAGAAAACAGTTACGTGATAGGTAGCGCTGTTGCCTGACGCCGTGTTTGCCGATAGCCTAGCAATGCTGTCGGGAGTTGTTTACTGTTGCACAGCAACCACGGCATTCGTTGGTCACGTCACCACGGGAGGGGGCAGGGTGTTGATTGGCCTATTACCGTAGCAGCGGCAACACTCCGAAGGTGTTACGTCACCGCTGGCGGGGGAGGGGGTGTCCTGCATAGCGCAAATACGTCACACTATCTTAAATATATGCATCACGTTCTACATTTACAGACAAGCAGAAAAGTTCATATTAATACAGTCACAACTGCTCTGTTAGTGAGATATGGCAACACTGCATACAACTATGAGGCAGCACTGTAAGACAGAAATCATTCAGTCCACAGACTTGTATGAGGTCCCTACTGAAGACTTTCTGGTGCTGTGGCATTCACTATGGTACATACATTATGTACCAAAGAATGGTGCAATGTGGAGTATTACTCTGACAAATTGAGATATGACATTATACAAAGAAACAAAACATAACATGACAACCACTGCATGCCTGTACACTGAAAGCCATCCACAATGGAAGAATCCAAATCACGGAACATTTGTTTCTCTGGAATGTCTGTGAGAAACAGGCCATATGCAGCCCAATATGACAAATGCTGTTACACCATGAAGTCACAAAAGCATCGATGGGGAGTTGTTCTGTGTGCTGCAGAACAATCCTCTGGTACTAGCAACAGGCAATTTTCCTGTCATCACATTTTGCAGTGAACAGTGCAGAGGGTGCTGCATGATCAGCTGTTGTATCTGTTCTTCATACAGCATGATCAAGCTTTGCAACTGCCACTGCAGCAGGATGCATCTCCAACCTTTCTCAGCTGAGTGTTCTGATGGACAAAAAAATGAGAATTCAAATACTTGTAACTAGCACATATGAGCTGATGAAGATCCACATTATTCTCAAGACATGATTCCAAGAGATGTTTGCAATATGCGTTTGGGAAGGAAACCTGGCAATCCCTTCCTAGGTTCTTGTGAGTTACTGTCTCAACCATCAGGGACATCCAAGTTACAGCTCATATCTGACGAATTACTGCAACTACTGGACAATGTACAACTGACAAGGAGGCAGACAATGTGGGTACTGTACGACAGGGCTGCTGCCAATTATTCACATGATGTCATCCAATATTCAGACAGCCAGTATCTGAGTCTATGGACAGAACAAAACGGTCCTGCTGTGTGGCCTCCATGCTCACCCAGTCTCACTTCTGTTGACTTCTACTTGTGGAGCCATCTGAGGAGCATCATGTAATATGCGGGAAGAGCTGTGGAATGCGACTGAAGTGGCTGGGACAACAATACACAACATGACTCATGTCTTTCCGCATACCAGGAATTCTTGGAACGACAGGGCTCAGTTACGCATTCACTCTAATGGCAGACGATTTCAGCACTTTTTATAATCGGTTACTAACTGTCCCTATGACATTCTATTCTCAGCTAATACATTCTTCACCCACAACTGTTATCTGTATACTTTTCATTCCTCCTGCTTCCTGATGCTATATCTTCCTAACAAAGTGGTTGCCACCGTATATATATAAATAAATATTTCTGCTTGCCTATAAGCAACAGAACATGATGCTTATATTTAAGGTAGGTAATTAAGACTCATTCTGTAAATACAGACATATATACATATGTGCATGTTTCTGCACAAACTCTTTGCTACTTAACAACTGCTCCCCACTCTGCTAGTGCTTCAGCTGACTTCAATAGCAACACATACATTCATTTATAAATTATAAAATACATGTATACGTGTATTCCAAAAGTCTCATAAAGATTTTATTTAAAAACACAAAATTTGCAGAGATTATAAGATTCGCCAAAGTCTTGTTTTTCCACATATGACATATTTGTTTTTAGGTCATAAAGACTGCTTACAGAGCAGCACCAGGTTCTAAATTCCTTCATATTCATGGATAATAGTACTTCCTTATGGAAACATGTAACACTTCACTATACAGTCTGCTTTCAAAAAAAATTTCACTGTTAAGTAATAGAAACCAAATACACCTTTCAAATACATTTAATAACCAGTCTAACAATATAAGTATCCATAATATAACTAGTAAAATAAACTTTATGAAAGGTGAAACGAAATTCACACCAAGTTCTCCAAAGTGTCATTCCCTGTTAAGAAATTATGTTAAAAATCTTCAACAATGTTTGTCCTGTAACAGTTTTAAAGACACACATCACCATTAAACAAGACAAGCTGTCCTCTCATCAAGCCATGGGCACATGATAGCTACAACAGGTGGCTGAAGTGTCCTGTGTTCATTTCAAGGCAGATGAGAGTGCAACACAAAGCATTCTCTTTAATATGCATTAATATATTGGTATCAACCATTGTTATAGCTACTTGAAGTCATACCATGAGATCTTGAGCAGCCATCCTGTGAGGTAGGAGACAGGAGCCCACAACAATGTCCCTGACAATTCCAGCCCAAACACTATTGCTTAAGCAAATCTGTCACCCGAGTCTTCAGATCGTACGAGGATCATCCTGTGCCTAGGGTTGGCTGTTGTGGATATGGTACACATCCTCATGTGTAAAACGTGCTTCACATGTCCACAAAAAGAACTCATCGGCAGCATGTTGATGTTGTAGCCATTCACAAAATTGCATCCATAGAGGATGAATGTCTGCAAACACGTGCGCTCCACAATTAGTGGTATGGTTACAACTGATCATCGTAAAGCACTATGAGGACCCTTATCCAGGATAGCCCCAATTCTCATGCAATATGATGAGAGCTTCTCCACAGTTTGTTCCACAGCTGCAATTACAACATCTTGGCATCTTTACTGGCCCATGGCCCTACCATCTGTGGGTGGTGTGACACAGGTGCCACACTTCCTGTCTCACGGAAATGCTGGCCCCATCATCAGAACACTTCAGCATCTGGATGACATGGCCCACATACTTTGAGCATATCCAATGATGCACTAGTACCACTGCTGAGAAGTATGTTACTGCACTTAAAAAATTAAGCATATCAGGATGTATGCTGTATAATATTTCTGTTATAATTTTTAACAAGGAATCACACTATGAAGAACTTATGGGTTGCAATAAACAACTGTTACAGTCATCTACACAGCCACAGAAAGGAGTTCCATGGATTGACTACTCCACATGTCCTGGGGCTGTCGTGGTTCTTCCTGCAGCACATTCTAACCATTATGTCCTTAGCGATACTAAAAAATGAGAACATGTGACAGTGACTAGTGCTCTAGGCTCAGTGACATATATCGTGGGGGGGGGCAAAGTAAACACAAAATGAGGCAAACTGCCACTATCCCTAACATCCATGGGACTTGGAATTGGAAAACACTATAGAAAACTACATTATATTGTCATGTGTTTAGGTGATCGGAGATGGGGTTCAGATTGGTAACTGAATCTATTTACTACTTACAGGTCGTAACTATTATTAATTATAACACTTACTGATTTTCACACTCCAAAGCACTCCATACTAAACTCTTCAGTCTACATGCACTAGTCTTCATGGAAGTACAACACAGGAACTAAATCACAAACTCCCAATACCACTGGATTGTAACACACATAAAGTCTTAAATCCCCACAGGCTGACCTCCTTTACTCTTCTGTACTCCTAGTCACAATTTGTTCCCCCAGCTTATAACTGACTTGAATGTTCCTGCATTCACTTCTCTTACAAACACTCTGCACTAGTCTATCAAATGCCTTGAGCTCTCCTTGACCCTCTACACTTTATTACTGTCACTTAAAAACTGAAATCTGTTCTGT